GATACTCCCTGTCAAAAAAAAAAAAAAAATTCCGTATCCTTCCACTAAAAAATTTAATAAAATCTGATTTCTGCGCTGCGCCGGTCAAGCATTGAAAAGAAAATTCTTAGTGCCATGTTACTTCACCATTGGTCATAGCATTTGATTTTTAATCTAATTAAGCCAAATTCACACAGGTAAAAGTTTAGGCTCTTTGAGATGACTTTTTATTTTTATTTTTAAGCAGTTTTTTAGTTATAAATTTTATTAAAATAAAATTTTTTTATTAAAAAATTGCTTTAAAAAGTTATAAGAAATTCGTTTATTTTTCTCAATAATCTAATTAAAGTTTTTGGGACAGCTTTTTTGTTAATATAAGTTTTTTTTTTTAATTAGGAAAAAAGAGGTAGTCAAAAGCTGTCATAAAAGCCTCAGCAATAGGAAAAATTATTACATCCGGTGAAAATATGGAGCAATACCGAGCATATCGAGTGTACCGAGCGCGCTGTATCGAGCACGATACCGAGCACTTTAGTGACGTGACGGTTTGTTATTGGTTTCCGGATGCATTCTTAGTGACGTGACGGTTTGTTATTGGTTTCCGGATGCATTCGGTAACCTGACGGAATAATTACTCCAGCAATAGGACATAAGCTAGTTTAAATATAATTTGTATGTTGGCCACTTACTATTCTTGTGTAAAAGATATCAATCAATCAAATCTTTTGTCGTATTTGTATTAATAAATTTTTTATTTTCTATTCCTCTTTGTTTTGTCTGCCTCCCTTCAGAAAATTTATTTTAAGATAAATATTATAAAATATTAAATAATTAATCATGAATTTTTATTTATTTTAAAGCAATTTAACAGCTGTAAAATTTATCTTAATTGTATCCGAATGAGGATCTCTTAACTCAAATTCAACCGCACCAATTATTAAGCTTTAATAATTGTGATTAGACCCAAAAAAATCTTTTGAATATTCTCACTTTCATCAAATCATAATTAACTATGTAAAAATAAGCTTAATTAAAACATCCAGAAGCATAATTAAAAAATTTTCGAGACCATTAGAGGGAGTCAAAAGTCCTCTGAATTTTGTTAGTTCATAGTCTTTATAATCGGTTCTTTGAGAGGAGTTTTACGAGTCCAAGATCACATTATTCTAAATTCTTATGATTTAGCTCATTGAATTCAAATTTTATATTAGCAATTTTAAATAATGTTTTATCTATATCAAAAATATGAAGCTTGAAGAGTCCGAGAAAATCAAACTGGTTGCACTTTACGTTTAAACATGGCATGCACTCATATCATTTCCCCATCATTCTATGATGTTGAATGACAATTCTTTGAATATCAATTTCATAGGTATGAAGAGAAATTGCCTGGGGTAGATATTTTTATATGCACTGCTGATCCCATTATAGAGCCCCCAAGCATAGTCATTAACACAGTCTTATCAGTGATGGCCTACGATTATCCATCGGAGAAACTAAATGTTTATCTATCTGATGATGGTTGTTCAATCTTCACATTCTATGCACTACTTGAGGCATTACAATTTGCAAAATCTTGGATCCCTTTTTGTAAGAAGTTCAACATCCAGCCTATGTCACCTTCTCTCTTCTTCTCAAAATCAACAGTTCCAGTGCATGATTCAAGTTTCTCAGATTGGACAACTATGGAAGTAGGCTTTCTTACTCTATTTCTTAAGATTTTTGCTAGCTCAAAGAAGAAAAAAACCTTCTAATTACTTTCTTTCATATGTGAATCCTTTCGCTGATGTAGAAATTATACAAAGATATGGAGAGTCGGATCGATGCAGCAATGAAACTTGGAGATATTTCGAAAGAAATTAAGGCAAAGCATGAAGGATTTTCAGAATGGAGCTCCAATATATCATCTAAGGATCACCAAGCCATTGTCAAGGTATGACATTGACCTAACACTTTTTTATGATAATATTTTTTAAAGTTGAAAACGGTAAGATGATTTTGAAGAGATGGATAACAACAATAATAAATCTGAGTTTTTAAAATATGAACTAATCTTCTTCTATTTATAGATACTAATTGATGGAAGAGATCAAAATGCTCGAGACTCCGAAGGATTTGTAATGCCTACAGTTGTTTATGTGGCTCGTGAGAAACGCCCGAAGTTTCATCATAATTTTAAAGCTGGGGCCCTCAATGCATTGGTAGAATCTTGACATGCTATTTCTGAAACCAACTCATTATTACATATATGAAAATATAAGCAATACAACATATATTTTTCTTGCCTATATGGTTCATGAATAATTTTATTTTAAGTAAATATTACTATATTTGAAATTTCTTATCACAAAATTTTCTTAATTTTTGTTGGATTTTCTTTCTTGCCTAACGAAATCATTTTTAAACATGCAGTTGAGAGTTTCTGAGAAGATAAGCAATGGACCAATCATTCTAACTATTGATTGTGATATGTATGCTAATAATGCTGGATCGGTTAGGGATGCTTTGTGCTTCTTTATGGATGAAAAGCAAGGCCATGAGTATGCTTTTGTGCAGTTTCCTCAAACCTATAAAAACACCACAAAAAATGACTTGTATGCAAGTTCCTTAAAAATTATTCAAAAGGTAAACCCTAAAATTTTATAAATTCAAAAAAATCATCTTGGTTTCATGTAAGATTATCAATCGCATTTTTAAGTTCAAGTTACAAAGGCACTCTTAAATGGATATTAAGAAGAAGAAAAAGAAAAAAAAAAAAAACTTTGCATCATTTAAAGGTGCTGATTGTATATTTATTTTGCTTTGGTTAGGACTTGATTTTTTTTAATCAAAACTGTTCCTTGAAGGTGGATTTTCCAGGGTTAGATGGCCAAGGAGGTCCACTTTACACAGGTTCATGTTGCTTCCATAGGAGAGATTGCTTGAAAGGGAGAAAATACAGTGAACTAAGTAACGTCGAGCTTAAAGGGGAAAGACCTCAGATTCTTGAAGCAAGTAGTAGAATTTTAGAGGAAAAAACTAAGGATCTTGCAACTTGCTCCTACGAAGAGAGCACCCAATGGGGAAAGGAGGTTTGTATATACACATTTATCATTCAATCATATAATTGTTTACATTTGCTAATGTAAGTTCTAAGAATCTTTGGAGCACAAGTTTTTCTGGTCAAAATTGTTCCATCATCACAAGTTATTTTTCTTGTTGATTACTATTTCTTTTACATACATTTATTAGTTTTTCAATGGGATTTTTCCCTTAGAGAAAATCATATGTATTTACTGATTTATATGTATTCTATAGCTCTTTCTAAAGCCTATATATTTTGTCATTTATCTAAAACCACATAGTTTTTGAATGCAGATTGGTTTGAAGTATGGATGTCCAGTAGAAGATGTGATCACTGGATTTGTCATTCAATGTCGAGGATGGAAATCTGTATATTTCTGTCCAAAAAGAGAGGCTTTTCTTGGACTTGCTCCTACAACACTATCTCAGACTCTAGTACAACACAAGAGATGGTCTGAAGGCGACCTTCAAATTTTCCTCTCCAAGTATTGCCCCTTCCTTTATGGTTTCAGAAGAACAAAACTTGGCCTTCAAATGGGATATAGCATATACTGCTTATGGGCTGTCAACTCCATTCCAACCATCATTTATGCTGTCATCCCTTCCATATGTCTCCTTAATGAAATTTCTTTATTCCCTAATGTACGTACACCCTCTCTCTCTCTCTCTCTCTCTCTCTCTCTCTCTCTCTCTCTCTCACTCACTGATCTCTCTCCTGATAGTACTCCTTCATGTCTCTTCTTTCTCTTGGTTATTAAAGCTCTATTAATTTTAAAGTAGCCACAAATCAAATTTCTTCAGTTTTGCTAGTTTTTGGTATCTTTCTATTGCTACAACATCAGTTAAAAGTATGGACCAACAAAATATGAAGCAAATTGGTATTTTCTTTTGTTTATGTGCAGGTTTTCAGCTATTGGTTCATTCCATTTGCATATGTGATTTCGTTAAGTTATATTGTTAGTTTATGGGAGTCACTTATCCATGGAGAAACCTTGAAGGCTTGGTGGAATGAGAAAAGAATGTGGCTCTATAAGAGAACTACTTCATACCTTTTTGCATTTGTGGATGCAATCCTGAAGATGCTCGGTATAAATGAGTCAGCCTTCGTTATTACTCCAAAGGTGGTAGATGAAGATACATCTAAGAGGTATGAGAAAGAGATAATGGAGTTTGGGTCTACTTCATTGATGTTTATGATATTATCTATAGTAGCAATGCTGAACCTCTTTTGCTTGGTTGGAGGAATTGGAGTAGTGATAGTAGATGGAGCTGGAGCCTTGGGCTCCTTGTTTATGCAATTGTTGCTGTGTGGGTCTCTGGTCCTCATAAATTTTCCCATATTTGAAGCTTCATTCTTCAGGAAGGATAAAGGATGCATTCCCATAAGCACAACACTATCATCAGTTGCAGTAGTTATAATTGCTTATTTCATACCTGTATTTTAGGACAAGGAACTTCTTATTGCTGTAATATGCTTTTGCAAATATAGATGAACATTCATTATACAACATCAAATATTGAATGTACAAAGGCATGGACTCTGCATGTAGGATAGCCTATGATATGCTCAATGTGAGTATACTTAATTTCGCCTTTTGATTTATCTAGATTTTTCGATGATGAGGCATATTATGAATATTTTTAAACATATTATGAACATTTTGTTAGAATGATTAGGCTTTGTTTGAGATGGTTTTATTACTGCTTTTTAAAGTAGTATTTTAGTACAAAAATTTTAAGTTTTGTACTAGAAAGTTGTTTTAAGAAGCAGTAAGAAAGCCGTCTCAAACGAAACCTTAATTTAAAAATCCTAAAGATATATAAATCATTTCTTTCTCCTCTCAAGAATGATATAAATATGATTAGAAGACGGTGCTCAAAATTAAGTTTAATTAATGGATTATCAAATTGATGAGATTTTGTTGGACTTGTACTACCAATTAAAATAATTTCAAGCAAAATCTTGTAGCACTAAAAAATTTCAATGTATCTAATGTTATAGCTTGTTTTCAATTTGGTCTCCTCTTGTAAATTCAAGTCCAACATCTTCCAGATGAATTTTTCTTTATTTGAAGAATATATATATATTCACAGTTGCTATTGAATTTTAAGGATTTCAGATGCTCTGAGATGAAAAATTATTTGTGATGACTTGTGGAGTAATTTGAAGGTGCATGACAAGCTATTTAAATTTCCATGTTAAATTTCAAATTTTGACTTTTTAATAGCCATGCTTTTTTTAGTTCATATAACTGATAGAAATCTAAAATTTTGTATTCATTGGGAGTGCAAATCATAGGCGTTTTGAGCGCAGTTTGTATGTTTGATAGTTACTCTTAAGGGTGCAGTGAGTCCCCCTTTGCTAGAACAAGGTGGACATCTATTTTGGATAATCATGTCAATTTTTGTTTGTTAGCTTAGAAACAAACTCAAGAAAGCATAAATTTTCAAACATTTAAGTTTCTAAAGTACTTATCACTGTATTTCTACTTTTTTAAACTAGTAATAATCACATTTACTTTGTGGCAATAGGAAGAGATACCAACCGAAATCGGCCAAGATTCACAAACATTTATTCTTAGAAGTCCTTGCATTTCCTCTAATATGATGCCAAACTTTTTCTTAGGACAAGTAGGCCAATTAAGGCAAACTCACGCGCACATCACATACGCAAGATTTGAACCTAAAACTTCTTCGTGATTGGTAGCTAAAGCTCCCAACCAACAGATCAAGGTAAACTACGTTTATGATGGCAAATTAGAAGAACCAAGTCTCATATATTTCTTATATTTCCTCCTTAAATCACAGTATAACACATGCATATGTTCGATTTCTATTGATTAAGTAGACTATGCAATCAACATTATTATAGCTTGTTGATCTCATGCACATACATATACAATTAGATTTATATACACCCATTTGGGTTCTACTTTCCTTATATAATTTTTCTTAACGTGTAACAACTTAAATTTGTGAAATAAATTTATATGAAAAACATGAAAATTTTGAAGTAGAGTACTTTGGCACTGATCTGGTGAGCATTGCGACGCTAGGCTATGAACAATATAAATTTATAATATCCCTGCCTCAACCCATTGATTCCCTCACTTGGTTGCTTAGTCAGGAAGAAATTGAAAGAGGAAAAAGAGAGAGAAGAGAGAAAAGTCTTTGGATCATATTGGTCAATTTTCTTTGCATTATATCGATGTTCCTCATATGCATTTAGGTCATATTGCCTATAGGGAAAGAAGATATGAAGGCTTTTTTTTTTCCTATGATTCTAACTATCTTACATTATATAGTAACTTGACATTATGGCTTTAAATTCATTTAGGTGGAGTTCAAAGACTTCCCCCTCTAAAGGGTATATTTTTTATTGTTTGCTTTCATAATTTGCATCTAACTGAGTAAGCATTTTGATAGTGTTGTAATGAAAATAAATTATAGATTTGAAAATTTTATTTTTTTAATTATATATACGTAGATAATTACTTATCATCATAAAAGGTAGAAATGATATTCTATAATAGATGTAAAATAATATATATATAATTAAAATATGTCTACATCCTCAAAGACTTTCTCCAACATGATGTGAGAATATAGGATTTTATTCTATTCTTGAATATAAGTTCTCTAAGAAGTAAACCCTTATAATTAATTACATCTTAACATACGTTATATAATCTTAATAATACTCATGATATCAGTAGTTGCAAATATTTTTATAACTTCAAAGATTAAGGAAGTATGTTCTTTTAAAATTTTGAATGGGATTGCTTATAATTAGAATAATTCTCTTTCAAGAGTTAGATGATGGAAACTAGGGATCATTGATCCTGACAAGCCCAAAAGTAGTCTACATTATTCTATGTTGGACATAAAAAAACTTCAAAATTTAAACTTATTATTTCAATTATTCATTTTATTAGAAATTTGAAGATTATATTACATTACCACTATATTGAGAAAAATATATGAGCCAAGGGCTTATGATAGCAAATAATAATTTATCAGTCTCAAATCAATAAACTAAGGTGAGAACTATTGCATTAGTAGTAACTCAAACTTACATATAACGAAATTTAAGTGGCTTATAACTTTCAACCCCTCAAGGGTTTAACTTGCTCCAACTCCACTAGACTTATAATCTCACCTAAAAAGAATTGCAACTAAGCCCATCTAATCACTTTAAAATCATAATTTTAATTAAAGTCATTATCCAATGCATTATAAGCTAAGCCATTTTATTTTAGAATTTGGGACTTATAACTTAGTATTTGAATCGAAGCATCTCATATATAAAGGGTAAGCAAAGGCTTCTAGCTAATAGAAAAATTTTATGCTTGGTCCTTAAATGCTTCATCAGCATTGTCAATGCACACTATCTCCTATAAGAATAATTAAAGCTAGTGCTTGCCAAATTTAATCACTTTAAAAGCTAGTGCTTGGGACGACTTTTTATTGCTTCTTAAAATAAAATTTCAATATAAAACATAAAATTTTTATACTAAAAAAAAGTTTTAAAAAGCAATAAAAAAATCATCCCAAACGAAGTCTTAGACTAATGAACTTTTTATATAGTGTCCATTATTAATTTTTAGAAATAAAAAAGCATACTTGATATATATACCCACTTGAAGGCTTACTGAGCACCAATAATTTCCACAGGAAAAGGCCCACACTCTATCATGCCAAGTGGTCGATATAAACTCAACAGAGGGGAAGAGGACTGTGGAATTAAGAAGTGAAGTAGAGATGAAGAGAAAGGAGGGCTGTCTGTTTGAGATGAGAAGAGGGAAGGGAAGGCCGTGGTGGTGGTTGTACGCGGCCTCAATGCTGCTGGGGTTGCACCTGATCTGGGCTTACAGGGTCACGCACTTGCCTGTGGCCGGAGAGAAGGGGAGGTGGGCGTGGATGGCGATGTTCGCCGCCGAGCTATGGTTCGGCTTCTTTTGGTTTATCAGTTTTTCTGTTCGATGGAACCCGATTCATCGCTTTACGTTTAAGGATAGGCTCTCCCTTAGGTACTCTCTCTTTCTCTCTCTCTCTCTCTCTCTATCTCTTCTAGTTCTCTATTGAGAGATTTTTTAGAAGAGTTTTGCTTAAAATTTTTCTGGAATATTTGATTATATTTTGTTTATTAATTATTACTATATATGTTAATATGTTGATACTGATATAATCACAAAAATATTTTTTTGGGTAACTTATATAAAAAATAACTAAATATAAGATAATAAAATGGCCAATTATCTTAGAAATTCTTCATAAAAAATTAGAAAATCCAAAGTCTAATAATTATATTATATTTATTGTTAAATTCAATTAAATTATATAATAATTTTATATGTTAAAAAAAATACATGACGCTTGATATTAAATATATTTATTTAATAAAATTAGCATTATTTTAGTATAAAATAGATTAAAATATATTAATATTTTTTTCCCAGCAGCAAGTGTCAGATAGACAGAGAGAGAATCAAACCGAATCTCCGCACGTGATTATTTATTTATTTTTGTACATATTTTTTATTATTAAGTCAAATAAATATGATTTTTTTTGTGGGATTAAATTATAGAGCATTATTCTTATTGAATAAATATTCATTAATGTAAGCTAATAATTATTTACTAATTATCTTTTATTTTTTATTAATTGCCTTAAAAAGAATTTTTTACTAATTAATTGATTTTATTAATTCACTAAAAAATAATATCATTTGAAAAAACATGCGTAAATACCTTTTTATAATTATTAATGATGTGAGCTATTTGAATCTTATTAAGAATTATGTACATAATTTTTGTCCTCTAGTATCATTTGATATCTCTATGACTGTATCTCCAGTCTCCACGAGAGATTATTAGGTGCGAAGTGCAGACGGGGAGAACCGTCTGCACACTAGTATAAAATCCAGCTAGGTACCGTTCGGTACCGTTCGGTACCACTAGGTACCGCTTGGTACCCTGTGCCTGTGCAGACGGTGCTCTCCCCGTCTGCACTCAGCACCTAATAATTATTCCAGTCTCCACACACAAAGTTGTGGACGCAATTAGATCCGTATCCCTTCAAGCTTCAGCCAAAAAGATCAGATTGTTGGAGGGTCCCTTTCAGTAGAAAATATTCTGTGCGATTCGGGATATAATTCTAAGTCCGGATTCGAATTAAATTAAGATATATAAATTTCTTAAGATAATGTATATATTTTTTAAAAATAATTTATATGTCTCGGACTTGGGTAATGTTTTTTTTTAAAATTAATTTAATTTTTAAAATCAAATAAATCAGAAAAGAAATTTACTTGGGCTATTTTCAATGAAAAGATTGGTTACCAGTACATACTAGAATTAACAATGGATGAAGTCATTAATAGAATTCATAAAAGATTACATTTTTTTACTTGATTAATTATGGCAATAAGAAGAAAAATATAATGAAAAAAGAATATCCTAAAAAAAAACGAGGGTATATTGTAATAATAAATATTATTGTATTACTACTATAAAATGTTAACCTACTTGTGATCATATTTATATGATAAAATCTTTAATATAATAATTCTAATAATTCTACTAGTCATTTTTTCATTTTGTGAGTTATGTGTAAATCTTTATTTAAATTTGGCTTGGGGCATCCATAGTTCATTATCTGTGTTAAACATGGCAGACAATCAAGTCAAATCATTTTAATTCTAAATTATTATATGACTATACTTTGAATATCAATTTCTTAGGTATGAAGACAAACTGCCTGGGGTGGATGTTTTCATATGCACTGCTGATCCCATTATTGAGCCCCCAATAATAGCTATTAACACAGTTTTATCTGTGTTGGCTTATGATTATCCACCAGAGAAACTAAATGTTTATCTATCTGATGATGGTGGTTCAATTTTTACATTCTATGCACTGCTTGAGGCATCACAATTTGCAAAATCATGGGTCCCTTTCTGTAGGAAGTTCAATGTTCAGCATTTGTCACCTGCTCTCTTCTTTTCTAAATCATCAATTTCAATACATGATTCAAGATTCTCAGAATGGACAACTATGGAAGTAGGCTTTCTATATTTACTTCTTACAAAATACTATTAGTGCAAAAACTTTCTTAGTATCGGCCTCCTTTTATTTATAAGTTATTTATTTTTTATGCAGAAATTGTACAAAGATATGGAGTATCGAATCGATGCGACGATGAAACAAGGTTACATTTTGAAAGATATAAAGGCAAAACATGAAGGCTTTTCAGAATGGAACTTCAAAACTACTTCAAAGGATCACCAAGCCATTGTAAAGGTTTGCACTTATTTAATATTTTTATATGACAAAAATTATATTATGAAGAAATGCAAAGTATCTAATGATATATGTGCTAATAATGTTGAATCAATCTAGTTAACTTGTAACTAGTGAACTTATCTTCTTTAATTTTTAGATACTAATTGATGGAAGAGATCAAATTGCTCAAGACATTGAAGGATTTGCATTGCCTACCATTGTTTATATGGCTCGTGAGAAACGCCCGAAGTATCATCATAATTTTAAAGCTGGGGCTTTGAATGCATTGGTAGAATCTTTACATGCATTTACTTTTTGCAATCAACTTTTTATTACAACATTATATTAGACTTTGCTTTCGTATCCATTACAGTACATGGACAATCTTTTTATAAGCAAATATTGCTATGTCTAAAATTTTTTGGCATATTATTATCCTTTTTTTATTGAAAATTTATTCTTGACTAACTAGCTCACTTTTAAACATGCAGCTGAGAGTTTCTGAGCAAATAAGCAATGGACCAATCATTCTTACTCTAGATTGTGATATGTGTGCTAATAATGTTGAATCAATTAGGGATGCTTTATGCTTCTTTATGGATGAAGAGAGAGGCCATGAGTATGCTTTTGTGCAATTTTCCCAAAGCTATAGAAACATAATCAAGCATGACTTGTATGCGACTTCCCTAAACATTATTCAAATAGTAAGCTCTAACATTTTTTAGAGTTCATGAAATTCATGTTTGCTCAGATGGAAAAAAAAAATTGTTAATAACATTTTTAGGTTCAAGATATAAGAGCACTATAAAATGAATATTAAAAACAAAAAAATTTGGCATTATTTAAAGATGAATGTATATTGATTTTGTTTTGGCTAAGATTGATATTTTTATTTAACCTTATTTCTTGAAGGTGAATTTTCCTGGGCATGATGGCCAAGGAGGTCCAATTTACATAGGTTCATGTTGCTTCCATAGAAGAGCTTGTCTAAATGGGAGAAAATATAATGAGCAAAGTAAAATTGAGATGAAAGGGGAAAGACCAAATATTTCAGAAGCAAGTGTTAGCATTTTAGAAGAAAGAACCAAGAATCTTGCAACATGCTCCTATGAAGAGAACACTCAATGGGGAAAAGAGGTTTGTTCATACACACTTATTGTTCAATCATATAATTCTTTGCATTCACAAGTGCAAGTTTTGAACTTTCAAAATTTTAGGGTCAAAATTGTTTTTTTTTTTTATTATCAAAACATATTTTTTCTTGGTTATTACTAAATTTTTACCAACATTTATGACTTCTTTCAACTATATTATTCCATCACATAGAAAACTATATGTATATATATAGGCAATATATTAATCTATATGTATTTTTTTATATATCTCGAATCAAATGATTTTTGAGTGCAGATGGGTTTGAAGTACGGATGTCCAGTAGAAGATGTTATCACTGGTTTAGCAATTCAATGTCGGGGATGGAAATCAGCACATTTCCGTCCAAAAAGAGATGCTTTCCTTGGTCTCGCTCCGACAACACTCTCCCAGGTTCTTGTACAACACAAGAGATGGGCTGAAGGAGATTTTCAAATTTTTCTCTCCAAGTATTGCCCCTTCCTTTATGGTTTCCGAAGAATAAAACTTGGCCTTCAAATGGGATATTGCATATACTGCTTATGGGCTGTCAATTGCATTCCAACCCTAATCTATGCTGTCATTCCTTCTATTTGCCTTCTTCACGAAATTTCCTTATTCCCAAGTGTGCGTACACACTCTTCTCTCTTTACACTCTTTCATTCATCTTTTTTCTCATAAAATTGTTTTTTTTTTTTAAAGTAGCTTTTACAAACCAAATTTCTTGAGATGCACTAGTATTTTGGTAGCTTTGTGCTGCTGCAAAATAAGTTAAAAAATATTGCCAAACAAAATAAGTTGCACTAATTTCTATTTTCTCATGTTGAAATGCAGGTTTTTAGCTTTTGGTTCATTCCATTTGCATTTGTTATTGCATTAGCTTATGTGGTTAGTTTGTGGGAGTCACTTTATTTTGGTGAAACGTTGAAGGCTTGGTGGAATGAGCAAAGAATGTGGTTATATAAGAGAACTACTTCATACCTTTTTGCATTTGTGGATACAATTCTAAAGCTAATTGGTATGAATGATTTAGCCTTTGCTATTACTCCAAAGGTGGCAGATGAAGAGTCTTCTAAGAGGTATGAGAATGGTATCATGGAGTTTGGGTCTACTTCGCCAATGTTTGTGATATTGTCTGCAGTAGCAATGCTTAACCTCTTTTGCTTGGTCGGAGGAATAAAACAAGTGATAATATATGGAGTTGGAAGTTTGGGCTCATTTTTTCTACAATTCTTGTTATGTGGTTCTTTGGTCGTCATAAATTTTCCCATCTTCGAAGCTTCATTCTTCAGAAATGATAAAGGATGCATACCCATAAATACCACACTTTTATCAGTTGCTTTAATTATAGTTGCTTATTTCATTTCTATTTTGTAGGGGAATGAACATGTTATTAGTGCAATGGAAAGGCAATGGCAGACTTTGCTTGTAAAATCTCTTAGGATTTGAATGATGACTCCATGATTGTATGATTATGTCTCTAATTACGCATCGGAATTGTTTTGATGATTACAAAATGAGGTATTCTTCTATGATTTAAAGAATCCTATTTTAGAAGATTTTTGATGTAGTGGATCGTCGGAAGACTCGACCTGCAAGAAGGATTTCGGTTTTCCCAATCCAAGGAAGAAGAAGAAGAAAGCTTCGAAAGCTTCAAAGAGTATATTATATCATTCAATGAGCTCATCCTTTACATTAGCCAACTATTTAAAAAGGCAAATAGAACTATCTAGACTAAGGAAGATAAACTAGTCCCTAAGCATAATAAAAGCTAAGATGTTCCTACATCATTCTCCCCTTGTGTCAAAAAGCTTGACTCCGTCGAGGCATGTTATTAGAAAGGAGGTAAGGGTAGCAGCAGATTCCTGGATCAAAGACTTTGAATCGCGAAGACTTTGAATGCAGACTTTAAAATCACCACATGAATAGGCTTCCCCCAATCCAAGGGAGGAGGTTGAACTTTGGAATCCTTGAATTGAACTAGCATTTCAATTTGCCAATTGGGTGGTGGATATGAGTTCTTGGCATAGAACCGATCCCTCGTGAAATCGACGGCAAAAGAAATATCACTTTTCCAAATTCCACAAGATAGAGAGGCGAGCACATTCTCCCATTTAGTTTTGTTCTGTTCCTCCTCTTCATCCCACAAGTCATCCAGCACAAATAAGAACCCTTTTGATATTATCTCAGATTTAAGATTCTTTTGCAAAGCATAAAGTGTATCCAAAGGAGGTCTCCTCATTTTAAGAGATTTTAGCATATCTGCAAAGTTGCTGAATCCACTAACCCATTTTTTAAGATCAATTTCCTTTATCATTTCATCTTCATAGACTTGTTGCAATAGAGTTGACTGTCCCATAACACCATGTCCTACTATAGCTAGAAGAGAAATGTTTCTGTACAAATCAGTTCCTGGATGCTCATTTGATGGCTTCCTCAACCACTGCATAACAAACTCCTTGTCCTTGCCTCTACCGAGGAGATCATCTCTAGGCAAGGATACAGCTTCACATGCTTTGTACAACTCATGCTACTGCTCTTGCTTTGTGCTTTCTAATAGATGAAGAACCTGAACTGTGAATCGATCTCCCTCGACAATTTCAGCAATGAAATCGTCAACAACCAACTGCCCGAAGTCAGTAGCGACATTACGTCGAGCAGCTTGTGAGCATGGCGTTGGATTAATTTTGTCAGTGGACTTCTCATCAAGCATTTGCACACCTGTAAGGGAAGCATCTCCAATACCACCTATGGTGAGGATATTGTTATTCCATACAAGAGTTCCAACACGAGATACATGAATTTCTTTCAGTGTTCTCAAAAGTTGAGCTGCTTCTAGGACACTATGGAAAAGAGCATGATTATGTGCAATGGATGGGAATACCAGACCTTGTAGAGTTGTTCTATTGGACGAAGCAGTAGTTCCACCAAACGAAGCAGGTAGGATCTCATTTTGAATTGATGATCCTTTATGTTTATTATTTAAAGGAGCATGAAATTCCTGTATTTCTTCCTGTTGCTGATGAATCTGTAAGCAAAAAATGAGATCCTGTAGAGGCTGATTTCCAAGAGGGACCCAGTCCAGCCGCTGAACATTGCCGATGCTGAGCCTCTCGATCCCCATATGACGCAAACAAAGCTCCATTGCTGACTTAAGGACGCTCCCATAAACCTGAAAATACTCGTGACCATAACCAGTGACAATCATCCGGTCGGAAATACCGAGGAGATCTTGAGTTGCATCGTCGGGGAGGAGATCGATCTCATGGATGCTGCTTTTAGAATGGTAGCTCGGCGTGCTGTTCCCTCCGAGGTTACCACTGTTCATCATGCTCTGCCGAAGATCTAATCCCTCTTCTGCAGCGTCAATCTCGGCATCAGGCCCGATCGCGAGTTGCAGCAACAAAGAATCTGGAGCTGGCGGTGAAGGACTTGTAGGAGGATCAGATGGTCCGGACGAAGGGAGATGCTTCGGATCGCGGGAGGTAGCTGAGGCGGCGACGAAGTCGGGTCATGGGAGACCGTCTTGGACGCAAGCTGCGGAAGCGAGTCGTTGATGAGCGGAGGCGAGTCCCGGACGAAAGTCACGGGTTGATTGCAGAATAAATGGTCGGGCAAGGATGTTTGCGAACTTCGCGATCAGGCGGAGGATCTCGCCATCGCATCGGACGCTCGAGCAGTGGATCACACCATCGGAGAGGGAGCTCGAGCGGAGGGTATTCGTCAACGGGTGGGAGAAGGGCGGGACTGATGTCGTTTGCGAGGAGCGGACGAGGAGAGCGAATAAGAAGAATACCTCGGTATGGTTGTGGACGACATTCTCATCTTCCTTATTGTGGGAAGGTTTTCTCAAATCCTATCAAGGTTTCTGTCTACCTGATCTAGCGATTCCTTCGATTGAGCTTGATAGAAGGTGATACGGCTTCGAGCATCGTCGACAGCCCACCTTCCATGGCGTCGATCGTCGTCGACCGCCAATCTTATTCTGCGGCTTCGATCGTCGTCGACAGCCGACCTTCTTCCGCAGTCCATCGATCTTCACAAGCTCCAGGCTCTGATACCAACTGATGTAGTGGATCGTCGGAAGACTCGACCTGCAAGAAGGATTTCGGTTTTCTCAATCCAGGGAAGAAGAAGAAGAAAGCTTCAAAAGCTTCAAAGAGTATATTATATCATTCAATGAGCTCATCATTTACATTAGCCAACTATTTAAAGAGGCAAATAGAACTATCTAGACTAAGCAAGATAAACTAGTCCCTAAGCATAATAAAAACTAAGATGTTCCTACATCAATTCTCCTAGTTCTTCACAGCATCTTAGTGCGCAGTTGGGTTCTTATAGATTAAAGATCTCATGGTGAACACGAGAAATGAAAGATTTGTGTAACATAATCTCTAGGGTGTCAATAGCTGATTTGATCTGTTAATCCGATCCGAAGTCAATATGAAAATTTTGAATTTGAGTTGATCTTTTTAATAAACACGTTGGGCCGGGTTTGGGCCGTGTATTTTGACCACTTTAATAAACGGGTTAACTTCAAGTCAATAAACCGGTTGGATTTAGGTTAACCTACAAATCTCATTTTAACTCGAAAATTACTCGTTTAATTTTGTTTCTTTACAATTTTTTATTTATTGATATAATCTTCTTATTTACATTTAGGATTTTAAGAAACAATTTTAATTTGCAATATTCACCTAAAGGTGAACCTCGACATTTCAATTATCATGGACTTAATAAGATATACATATCATGCAAAGGGTTAATATGACATTTTATAGTATCTCAAAGAGAATGAAGTGTTTTTTTTTTGGATTTTGATTATTAAAGGCGTTTATTTAGGAGTTTGTAAAAAGATTTTATTTTCATTTTGATGATATTTTAAATTATTATTCTTTATAATTTTATGTGTTCATAGAAATTTATATAATTTTTTTTTTATTTTCCTTGAGTTACAGTTATTTTTTTAGGTTATTTAATTATTCTTTTATTAAACTTGGAGTTTTTTTTTTTTTTTTGAATTCTTTATTAAGTATCACTTTGGTCACATAAAACACTGACTTTTTGATGACCCGATTAGCAGAATAGAAATATTAGGTTTGACCTATATTAAGAAGAGTAGAGATAGACCTAAAAACTTGGTTAGAATGCATTAGAAATAACATTTTTATTTGATTTAAATAAAAATTTAACTCTTAATAGAACACATTGGAGAAAAAAGATTCATGTAGCCGACCCTACGTAGTGAATAGATGTTTGATGCTGTTGTTATTGTCATTTTAGCCTCTTAAAGTCAATGTAGTAGTAGATGCTTTAAGTAGGTAGTTTTCTAGAGCATCAAATTTTTTGCTTACTTCTGATGAATTTTTTATTCATGAAATGAAAAGATTAGAGCTGGAAGTGCCTAAGTCCATTGATTTGGATTTTGGTTGGCTTGCTCATATGATCGTACCACCTACTATGAGGGAAAGAATTTTGGATGCTTAGAAAGATGATGAAGATTATTCCAAATTAGTTAATAAAATTTAATATAGAATGAATTTTGAATTACGAATGAATGATTTAGATATGATTTTCTACAAGGATAGATTACGGGTCCCTGGTAGTATGAATCCGAAAAATGATATTTTACATGAGACACATTACTTTGGATGCACTAGTCACCTCGAGAATAGTAAAATGAATAATGATCTAAAGCAAATATTTTATGGCCAGGGTTAAAAAGAGAAGTAGTTGATTTTGTGTTTAAGCGTGAGAATTGTCAACAAATGAAGGAAAAACATTAGCGATATGGTAGTTTAGTGTAGTAATTGCCCATTCTAGAGTGGAAGTGAGAAGAAATGATCATAAATTTTGTAATGGTTTTTCGCTGATCAAAACAAGGACATGATGTTATTTGCGTTGTGATAGATTTTTTGACGAACTTTGCTTATTTCTTATGATTTGATGGATAGACTTTATAGATAAGTTAGTATAGATATATGCACGTAAGATCATTAGACTATACGAGACAGCCAAGGTAACTATTTCTAACTGGGATAGTTAGTTTACTAATAAATTTTGGAGGAATATTCATAAGAATTTAGGTACAAAATTACATTTCAATGCATCTTTTTATCCACAAACAGATGATTAATTTGAAAGAACTTTTCAGGTACCAAAAGACATTCTTAGGCTTTGTGTTTTAGATTTTATTAATAGCTAAAATGATCATATTCCTCTGATCAAATTTGCATAGAATAATAATTTTTAGTCTATTATCAATATGACCCTTTACAAATCTTTGGATGACAGAGTATGCAGGACGCATACATCTTAGATAAAGGGGGGAGAAAGGAATCTATTAGGACCAACTATGATAGATGATGCAACTGTAAAGTTTCGTCTGATTCAACATAGCTTAAAATCTAACATGATAAATAGAAGAAATACTAAGATTCAAAGCATTACTATGTAGAATTTCAAGTTGAAGACTTCATATATT